TTGAATCTCAGCTCCTAGAGCCCAGTTTCAATAACTTAATATTATCACTATGATTCCATTTTTATATCTGTAGGTTTAGGGCAGTGCTACTTCTGATCTCACAGGGGCTGCATAAAAACTAGGTATGCATTTATTTGTAGAAGCAAATCAAATTAATATAGAAGACAGGTCAGCGATGGTTTCTATATGAAAGGTACCAAAACAGAGAGGAGGAATTAGTGGTAGTGCTCCACCACGCCGTGGGATAACCACGGTATATAGCAATAGATATTTCAAAATAACCAGAAAAGAGCAGTCCAAAGTCCCCCAACACATAGAAGTGATAAATACATTAAGAGGTGGAAAAGCCAGTGACCATAACTTGACCATTACACATTGCTTGCATGTGTCCAACGATTATACTGTACCCCATAAATATATGCAAATATGTATCACTTACATTTTTTTGAAATTTTAAGGAGGAGCTGAGTCTGGTATGCATTTGGCATTATATGATGATGTAAGCATTTCAGTTTAATTTTATTCTTACATGCTTTTAGAAGAAATAGAAGGTAGAATACTAATGGCCAGAAGACTGCCTGAAAACAGAAGTCTCAACTTTCCATTTTGCTATTTTTCTGATTTTGAGCAACTATTTCTTTTCACTACTGAGTGGAGATAACTGTTCACTTGATATCTATAAAAATTCTGAAATTCCGTGACAAATTGAAAAGCTATTTGTCCACCTGTGCCACTATCCTGATCCAAAGCAAAATCATTCTCCACACAACTCTGAATATGTAATTGTTTGTGGGCCTATTGGGAACTCCCCGACAAAGTTTTGGGAACAGAAGATAATAGTAAAAGTAACTTCTTTATTGAAGAATTTAGAAAATGAAATTTGTTGACTAAGTTTTCTTTGATACTCACTAAGATTTAAGAACTGGGATGAGCTTATGCCAAATTCTCAATAAAGGGCTTTTAGACTTAAATAGTTAGAATCTGAGAAATGTAGACTTAATTAAATAGTACAATAAAATCAGTTCAAACAATTCAGTTCTATTCCTAAATACCTTATATGAGCTAACATTTGGTTAACTTTTTTTTTAAACTAAAAGTCATTCTGAAACAAGCACTTCCTAAAGCATTAGTTGAACAAATACTGTCATGAAAAAAAATTTAGTGCAACAGTGTCCACACGACAGTGAATCTGACCCCCTCACAAAATAAATATCTAGACACCTTTTTTTAAAAAATTTTGCTGTTATCTAGTTTTTGTGCAACCTGAAGAAACAAGTCTGTTAGCCAATCCCATGATCACATGCATCATGGCAATTATTGGTTCTTAAAAGTCATTCTTGTGGTGTTCATTCACACACACTTGTGCAAGTGAGTGGCTCACTGGAATGCAGAGATGAATCTGATGCTTGCCCAGCTATAGGCTCATTCACTCGGTATGTATATTATTAGAATAATGGTCATGCCCCAACATAGTAGTCTGCAATAAACACATAAACAATATCTCATATCACTGTTGCAAAGTGTCAATGAAATTTTTAAGCATACTTTACAGATAATAGGTAATAAATTTAGTCACTGTACCACTGTGTATTCTTTATTTTTATAATAATCTTTATTATTTATTGAAGCACTTGAATATTTTATATATTGTGTTATCAGCATAAAATTGCCCAAAAAAGAACTGATATTAATGTAACAAAATCATCTAGATTATGTCATTTTCAATGGAAATAATTATAATAGCATTCAGCTACATGGTTTAATAAATGGCTCAGGATAAGCTGATACATCAGTTAGGTATAATTGTTCCTAAAGTATATAAAGTAAAATATCATATACTATTATGTATGACATGTAACACATGGTAATATATAATACATGTCACATATATAATACACATATTTACATGTAATACATGTTATAGAATATATGTCACTAATATAGAAAATTATTAATATATAGAAACATATATTATTTCTAAAATATATATAACATATAAATATTCCCATTCCTAAAGCATACAATAATTACATCTTATGATCATTAAAATTTTAAAAATAAGTTAATAAAAAAATCTTTCCTATAACAGCTATAGCAAAAGAGAGTAAATGTAAATATTTTGTGAATTTGAATAGACATATTAGATAGTATCTTAACTAATATGGGACATTGACCATAGCCAGCTTACAATTCTTTCTTGTTCTCCATTTCCTCTGATGTACAGGGAGCAAAGATCCAGGGAGTTGTTATCAAGGAACTCCATAGAAAATAATCTAAACTTCCCACATCTCTACTGGTTATCAACAAAGGAAAAGTCATATTTAATGCTTGCTACTGTCTTTTCATTTTTTAACTGGAATACACTTTCTCAGTATTAAAAATGCATTCAATGTAAATCACCACAAGGGTAAATAGTAAGAAATAAAACACTTGGTGTGACTCATTAAACATTGCTTTCTGGGCTATTACACTGGTACACTGTTTGCATGAAAGCATCCCAAATCAGATCCAGAAACTGAGAGCATCTTTAGTGATTTAAAAACCAAACCAAACCAAACCAACCAACCAAACAGAAAGCAAATGCCATTCACCACAACACAGGGATAGAAGTTATTCTTTTCTCAGTGACCTGTTTAGTAAGATATGTGCATTAAACATTTCTGCTGCTCTTTTACCATGAAATCCTCTATCCCCTCTCATTCTGTCATGCATTTCCACCCTCACATCTAAATGGAAATTGAGGGTGTGGATCTTTTGAAGAGGGGATCCTCTGTCTGCTTGCCCACCTTGTGTCTCTGTCCCAAGTGCTTGTAGGTGAGACCTTCAGTACCTCAAGCCTCCAGGCTTGCTCTACCCTCTGGCAACTCTATTCCATCCATCACATTGAGACTGGATTAATGTTCCCTTAAATGCCACTTGTATCATTTTGCTCAAATTCAGGAATGGACAAGAATGAGCTTTGTAGTGGCTTATGACCTACAACATAAATCCTAAACTTCAAATTTTCTTTCATGCTAACTTCTGCTCTTATTGTTTCCCAACACATCCTGCTGTCCTTACTATTTTATTCTTTGATCTTCATTGTATCTAAAAATTATCTGAATTTTTACTTTTAGCTAGTTCTTTATTAATCCTTTCAGGTCAAATTTTGGAATCATTGTTTTTCGGAAAGGTTTTACTCCTATTTTGTTTACCTTTTCATTCTGCATGATAACAACTATTTCAGTGTCTCAATTGTGTAACATGGAATAAATAAGCATACTGGTATGTGTAAAATATGGTTAAAATTAACATAATATACAATGTTTGACATGTAGAGTGTAACTAATATACACCCAGGTATCTATATGTAAGTATCAGGACAGTCACAGAAATTTCTACAGTGCTTAATGATTCATATAAAAGAGCTTATACACTCAAAGATTCATTATGGCATAAACAAGTTTTTATTTGCTCCCATTATACTCTGCGCATCAACAAATGATTGGCAGATCACTGTTATATCTTAATATTTTGCTTTCCAGTTTATGCATGTCTCACTTCTGTCTTACATTTAGAATTTACTTAGAGACAGAAAGCGCCACTGGTAGATTCTTAATTGTTGATGATAATTTATTTCCTCCCCTCTTCATGTACAGCATCATTACCAATGCCACTGATTTGGGGTTTGGCCCTGAAACTTTTGTGGGTTAGTGTCCAGCAGACAATGAAACCTATGTCACGTCAAAATACGAGAATCAGCGTGCTTGGTGGACTTCTGCCTTTCCCCCCACACACTATTTGCAGTAAACAGAAATTCCCAAATAGGGCTGCTGCTGTTCTGCCTGGGTCCTGGAATTATAAGCTGCTTAGTGCAAACTTGCTAACCTATCTCCTGTAGGAGAACATAGCTGACTCATGGTCCTTAAGCTTCTTGAATGAGAAATCACTTTTTGCAGGAAACTGACATTAGTGGGGTTTGCGACACCCCAAAGGGGCTAATCCAGGTCCTTGGAAATTCTCTGGTTTCCTCATTTTGTAGTCTGGGAAGAGAGGTCTACTGGAAGAGCTATGATGTGAATTTGGATTATTCAATTTTGCATTCTTAAAACATGAAATACCTAGCTTTGATTGTTGTGGTTTTCCTGAAATATAAATCAAATAATTTGAAATGTGGAGCATTTATATTATCTCAAAAAATGTCTTCTTGGTCTGGCATTAGTTTTTAGAGATCAAGTGGAAGAATTAATAAAATGTGCTGTCAGCAGCAAATAGCATCAAAGATATAGTCAGCATCAGAAGGACTCTGCTACCTGGGAGATGATGACCTCTGTGTACATGAGCTTGCTTGATAGAAAACGGAATGAAGTGTGTCGGCCTTTGTGAATCACTTTCATGCCCTTATCTTCCATATACATTCTTAATCTAATATTTACATTTGAAAATCTTCCTTCTTTTTAAAAAGAACTCTCTTATATTATGAAATACTTATTTAGAGAAGGGTTTAATTTCTTAATAAGCTGTCTCCTTGTTTTCAAAGTTTCATATATGCTTTAATAGCATATATGCTTTCATGAAACCCAGATGGAAACACTTTATCATCCTGCTTCAATGCATCAGAACTTTAATTTAGTTCAGAAATTTATTTTATGCTTTAGTGTTCTTAGAAATGAATTTGTTTTCTTAACTCTATGATATTTAGTCCCTGGGAATTCACAGGCTAGACTGCTCAATTAAGTTCTAATAGAAATTACAAACACATCTACTTCCTTTTGCATATCAATTTTGAGAGTAAAACCAATTATATGCAGTGATATTTTTCTACTATTTATGGGAAAAATAATACTCCAGTACATGTTTTCAAAAACAAATGCCTTATTAAGCCACATTTATTGCTGCTGTTCATCATGTTTCTAGTAAGAAAGAAAGCAAAAGATATTAAAACAGATAGGGAAGCCAAGCAGAGTGACTTTTCCCTTTAAATTCCCTCTTTCTCTATTTGGACCATGCACAAATCTTACCTTTGTGAAAAAACATCACGGTAAGGACTGCCGTGTTGCAATGCGATCCCATATCCCCGATCAGCCACAGTATTCCCAACAGTGTAAAAGGAACATTCTGGATCATTGATAGCTACATATTCCAATACAGCTGCATCCCATACAAAAGCATAATTTCCATGTTTTACCTGGGAAAAAAATGGAGGTAAAAGAATCAAATAATGTTGCATTGGGTTATATTTAATCCTGCAAAAATAATATGTACATATTCATATAAACTCATTCTGAATGAAAATCTTCCTTTTGGCCAATTTATAGCTCTAGTCTCCTGGAAATGTGATCAAGTGGAATGTTAACTATGCTTAGAGCCAGTTCTGCTTGTGGCAAAATGACCCTAGGGCTGTAACTGCCCTTTGGATAGGGAAAACAGTAAATGCATGAAAGGAAACATGTCTTAGAGCTTGTCTCAGTTGAGCGATTCTTACAATTGGGCTTGTGCTTTGTTGGGACCCACCATTCGGAATAAATTCTTTGATTATAATAAATTAAATATGAGGAAAAGAGAATTCAAATTGGAAAACACAAATGAAGAAAATGGATGACCACATTTTTCTGATACCAGAAAAATAATTAGGCTATCTAGACATACAAGTAAGAATACACACACAAAAATACTTGATGGAATAAACTTCTAGATTTTTGCTGTATTTGCTTTTAAGTGAGTAACTTTTGCCTATTATAATGAAAGACCTGAAACCTTCACATCTGCTTCTACAATGGATGTTTACCCTCTTATGTTGGTGAGGAACTCCAACCAAATCATGGGGTATTCAGAGGTGAAAGTTCTTCCGTGAGAGAAACTGTATAACGCAAGTATTTCTCACCGAGTGAGAAACTGTATAACGCAAGTATTTCTCACCGAGTGTCTGCTGTGCCCCTTCAAGTGTGACTACCACGGCTGTGATTATCAGCGGATTGTGGTGTTAGAAATGTAGAATTCAGATTCAACCCCAAACTTAGACTTTTTGTGGATTAGGGTCGATTACATGCACCAATATTTAGACAGTACTTGTTTTAGGCAATTTCAGCAATATTATTGGGAATAATGAATTTGCATAAAGGTTGGTGTAATTACCAAAATGGGTAGATTCCTTGGGTGTCGATGGGGTGAGAGAGGAGACATACATGAGGACTTTTCCTCCTCTGTGATTACACACAAGAGAGTTAGCCTGCAGTCTTTTCTCCCTTCTCTGATCCTTGCCAGCAGTCACCAACTTTAGATCTGTTATGAGCTTTCTGGGTCTAAACCTACAGTAAATAGTGAGGCGGCAGTGACCTTGAAGCTTCCTCTAGCAACCCACTTTGATGTAAGCTATTCTCTTCAGTTTCAAACAGCCAGTCTGGCCTCCTGGATCTTCTTGCAGCTTTTTTACAGTGCTCCAGGGACCTCCCCTGTTGGGGACATATTGCTTTGCTGTTAGAAAATTGTTCTGGCATTGTTGTTACTGCTTTGTAAACTGTAGAGCTCTATTTAAATGATGCCAACATTATCATTGCCATTATATATATTGTTCCCAGTAATTTAATGTTACAAAGCATTATGAGTGAATTTTTCAAAAGAGCATCATTAAAACAGTATGATTATAGCCTGTAGCAAGATCAATGAAATGTTTCGTAGTAACCCAAACTGTTTTGGCTTTTAAAAACATTCCTGGCCTTTTTTCATCAACTGAAACACACAATCATTGTCTTTCAGATAGTTTTTAAATCATTAAATTAAAACAATCTAGAAAATATTCCTTAACGAAATGTAAAGTCATGCTTCAATAGAATAATCACTGAAGGATTGATTTTGGAAGCTTTGAATCTGTATGTCTAGGTGATGAGTGTTTCTTAAAAAAAATAGGCCTTGGGCCCAGCGTGATGGTGCAGTGGTTAAGGTCCTCCTCGCCTTGCACATGCCAGGATCCCATATGGGCGCTGGTTCTAATCCCAGCAGCTCCACTTCCCATCCAGCTCCCTGCCTGTGGCCTGGGAAAGCAATCGAGAACAGTCCAAAGCTTTGGGACCCTGCACCCGCATGGGAGACCTGGAAGAGGCTCCTGGCTTCGGATTGGCTCAGCTCCAGCCATTGCGGCTACCTGGGGAGTGAGCCAGTGGATGGAAGATCTTCCTCTCTGTCTCTCCTCTCTGTATATCTGCCTTTCCAAAAAAAAAAAATAATAATAAATAAATCTTATAAAATAAATAGTCCTTGATCTTGAGGAAAGATTTGGAAAGTCACAGAATTATCTTGCCATTGACTGATCCAGCAGAGTGCTTCATACAGGGTTAAACAGAGGGCAAAATTGAATCTGGGTGCTTCACGCTTATATATTCAAGATCTCCTTGTGAGGAAGGGAAGAATCTGAAATAATACCCACCTTGATAATAATTACCTAATGATTAGTGTGTACCCTCCAACATAGGGTGAGTTGGAGACTGAAGGATGGATGCTCATTGGCAGGTATTGATACTCAGCACTATGTCGCAAAGAGCTGTCATGAATTTTTCACTTCAGGTACCACATTGAGAATTCAGTGTGGTTCTATGCCTACATATTCAATTTTACCAGGAGTTTTTCTGCATTACTTATAAGAACTTTGAAGTAAGTGTAAAATAAGGGACACAGAGGTAAGATTGGGCTCCTGTGCTCAAGCTTCTAACAGCTCAGTCATGGAGGTAAATCAAGTACTAAATTGCTGTAACGCACAGCATATCATGGTAAGTGTCATAAAAACAGCTTCTGTTTAAAGTGGCTTAAAGACAAGAAAAAGCAATTTCTTTGACGGGAATCAAGAAAGTCTGCTCAAATATTCTGGTAACTGAAATAGTTACACAAGAAAATCACAAATATTTAAGTTTGTTATCTATAAGGCTTAACTGATTAAATATGGGTACTCTTTGGAGACCATTTTTTTTTGTTCATGCATACTCTTCTAACCTAATAGCATTTTTGCAATTTTCCATCTGTCAGGTGGAAGAACTATAAACACTCAGTGTTATTTCTTCAAATATTTGCATTTCTTTCCAAGTAAAGTGAAGGATTTCCCATCATGAAAATGTATTCTCAAGATCTGCACCTGAGCCATGGATTAGGGCACATTTCTCATCTCCATAGATGGCTCTTGCCCTGAAAGTCCCTGTTCTGACATCTCCATCAACAGCTGAGGGAGAGATGACTTTTCTTTTTAATTTACTGGGTGACAGGCTCCAGTGACCACTACAGAAGCCCATGCCACACATAAATAGACTCTCAGTACCCGTTACTCCATTCCTATTGATTTAAATCAAGAAATACATATCGCTTTTCACATGGACCTATATCCACTTCCTTACACGATCAATTCAAAACCTGTAACTTGAGCAAAAGAGTAGTGATGATTTCTTTTTATTAAAAATAGTCAAAAATAACAGTTACGGAAAGATGAAATTTAAACAAGTGTAGGATAAGATCTTTTCTTATTGAAGAAGAAATATTTTCCTTCTACCCTGCATTTCTTTCCCATATTGATAAATAATATTTTTGAGTGTTTTTAACTCTTAAATTGGCTTTTCCACATAAATCTCTTTGCTTTTTGCAATGCTGGAGGGCAGTTAATGTTATGGTACTTCACAGATAATCTGACTTGCTCTAGGTCACACAAATAATCAGTGGCAGATTCCGAAATCGAGCTCAAGGCCATCTGCAATGCTCTTTTACTACATTAAAGATGAATTTTTAGGCAATCTTTCCACTAGAACACAAAAACATGTAAGATAAAGCATGCTTAGCCTTGAAGGCATAACCTATCTAGTTTGAGAAATGACATTTATATAAATAAACATAATGCAATATAGCATGTAGTAAGAGCCATAAAAAGAATTCACTTTCCTTAATGCTATGTGATCACACCAGTACAATAAAGGAGTTTTATGTTTTTTTTAAAAAACGTTGTTTATCAAAATAATTGGAATCAATGAGTATTTGATTTGTATGAAACTGGACTCCTATGGCCAGTTTTATTTTTTAACCATTCCTAGCCAATTCTTTCTGATTCTGTGTATTGAAATACAAGCAGAACTTTGGAAAATTAAAATAAAGGCTGAATGAAGCATGTCTAATATGTTTGCTCACCAAATGAAAATTAAAAGACCTGAGAATCATGTGAGAAAAATAAATCGTAAGTTGTTAAGTTATTTACAATCTTAAAACTGTAAAATTTAATGATCAGTGGGAGATAAAGTGATTGTGAATCACAGGAGTAAAAAGTTATGATGAACCCAGAATCGATCTATGTTGATCCTGGTAATTCATTTCCCCCATAAGTCAGTATAATGGGATGGCTTTAGCATTTATGACATGGGGCCCAAGGTGGTTGCCTCTTCCTCTTTGGGCAAATAAACAATTTATTTAGCAGCTTTAATCAATTTTATTCTGAACTTAGCACAGTAAATCATGATCACATCCAAATTTAAGTGCATACAATTAACTATGAAAAAAAACATATTTATGTTTGTTCCGTGTTGCCTCAATTGTCCACCCAATATATTCTTATATGCTATTATGTTGAAACTTGAGAGTTTGTATCATCATGGGGTATATATTTTCATATAGAAGGTAGGAATTTGTTTAAAACAGAATAGATCAATATCAACTTTAAGCATTTTTTAAACATGAAAAAGAAGCCATATTTTGCCTCCAAATCTTATCTATTGACAATCTTTTCTGCAATTGTAGAATTCTCAGTGTAAAAGAACTTTCAGGAGAAGGATCAACACAACTAAAGAGGAAAGATCTGTATTCAGCTCAGCCAGAAACATGTTTCAGGAAAAGGGAAGAATTTCCAGATAGTCTGAGGGAAAGCCTTGGAAAAAAGTGACAGTAATGGCCAATAGGTCAGAGACTCTGAAAACCAGCCAGGAAGGGAGGAGAGAGGGAGAGAGAGAAAGAGAAAGAGAAAACAAATGTAAACAAACCTCACCACTACAACTGTCCCTGCTCCCACTTTAGTGCCTTGGTGGAAGGCACCATTTGTTGGCAAAATGGTCCTCTGTATAAAATATCAGCTGAGAAGATGACAGAGCTGTAAGTGGCACAGAGACTGTGAAAATCATCGGAAAGAGAGAAGAAGGTGTGCTGCCACGTTTGCTTTCCTTTCTTGTCAGG